GCAGTGCGTCGTTTATTCGCACCCACGTATAGGTGAACACACGATCCGTCATCACGCATATCCGTCGCGAGACTGTCGCATAAAGAATCGCATTTATCAGACCAAAATAATTGTTTAATAATTGTTTTACACAAAAAGTGGGAATGCGAATATCCTCCGGTTGACCTGCGAATGAATTATGTGACGCTTATTTGTCGCAATTATGTGTGTCGCAGAATAGAAAATTTCCAAAAATATTTTCTTTTTCTTATTATGCATCAACTAGGCGAATAATATTTCGCAGAATAAAAGATCGAACAGAAATCACTACACAGGCTACATTACTACTTTTACAGTCGCTTCAAACCCAGCCGATTACAAAGTTAAAAAAAAAATCGAAGGACCAGCCAAGCCTAAAAAAAAGGTAGGACGAGGGAGCCGACGAGCTACAACAGCACTCAGACTCCAGAAAGAGGAGCTGTAGGTGAAGGTTGTTTGTGGAGTTCCATGTAGAACTCCAGCATGAGATCGGCCCCGACCACCACGATCTGAACCGATGAGCTCTGACGAGTTCCGACCTTCAACCTTCTCACAGTTGATCCGGCAATACCCGGGCCCGAAGGTTTGATTTTCATCGTCGCTGTCTCGGCATATATGTTTCCTGCCGGGGCCACGTTAATAAAGTTGGATAGCGGAATTTCCGCTCGTTTAATTTTTTCCTCCGACGAATTCGAAAGGTTAGGAGTTCTCAATTCGGACACAGTAATCTTAAAGAATTGCCTCACGTGTCGAAAGAAAGAATTTTTGTAACTCTGGTTTATCTCCGGCGAACTGCTTCTCATATGCAAGAAAAGGGAAAAACGGAAGGCCATTAACAAAGACTTCTGTGGGACGGATGGGTAGTAAGAGAAGTGGCATGATATGTATCGAAGATTACACGCTTTATATAGACGGATGAAATGATTCGCGTGCACGCTCTTACTGCCCAGGCGTTTCGAAAAGCGGATAAGACGCCTCGAAATCGGCCGTAACGTTCCAACTTTTAGCGGTTTCTAAACCATTCAAAAATTTAAATTTTAAAAATAAACTTTCGATGAAAGATGAAAGATGAATGAAATAAAAAGATAAACTTTCGAGTAGAAGCGCGAAGGGGGTATGCGAGCAATATGCGGTAGTTTGCATACCCCATCGCATAACTGAAATAACGGAAAGATGAAAGATAAAAAATAAACTTTCGAGTAGAAGTGCGAAGGTAGTATGCGAGCAATATGCGGCAATTCGCATACCCCATCGCATAACTGAAATAAAACTGAAAGATGAAAGAAATAAAAAAATAAATAAATAATACACTTTCGAGTAGAAGTGCGAAGGGGGTATGCGAGCAATATGCGGTAATTCGCATACCCCCTCACATAACTGAGAGATGAAAGAAATACGAAAAAAACTTATTATGCACTAATTATGCGAATAATATGCGACGTTGGTATGTCGCAGTTGTGTCGCAGAATAATTTTATCGACTAATAGTCGCAGTTCATTCGCCTAACAAAAATAATTA